AAATTAAAAAAAAACCCATAACTTCATACAAAAGTAATAAATATGCTTTCTTAAATATGTAAAAAAAAAATAAAATAAAACATGAAACACTTGTCAATCAAATTCATAAACTATCCTAATGTGTTCTCTAATTCAGATCTATTTTAAATCATGTACTTTATTATACTTTGATTCAAGAGTTTCTATAATGTAATTTTTACTCATTTACTAAAATTAAAGATTAGATCTACATAGTTTTAAAAAAAACACTCAGGGTTCACAGCTGGGTGTGACTGATGGTTAAGTTTTCTTCTGATAGTATGCAAAGCACCTTTTTGCACTATGAAAGCTCTCCAATGAAGATGAAGCTTTGCAGTCAGTACGAGCTTGATTTCTACTTGTTTATTCTAAACCACATGGCTACAACGTCCCCAGCAATAGGGACTTATTGTCAAGTTCATGTGAGTATCCAACAGCAGAAGCAGTGACAGCTGACCCCTGGACAACAGCTACAAAAGATGGAGTCCATCCCTAGCTTTGGGTTTTTACTTAGTATAGTAAGGTGTATTTACTTGTATAGTAATGTGTATGTCCCCCAATAAAATAACTCCTTTAAATATTTTATAATGTATATGCATGCACTTTAAGAGGCTTTATAGTGGTAAATTTCCAAATGGCTTTTTCTAAAGTCCTATAGTGTTAGTTACCCAGCCCCATACTCCCACCTCTGTGCTGTCGTCTCATTCTCCTCTCCAATTAACCCTTTCTACCTTATTAATATTTTTCCCCTTTATATCACTGCATTTAATCTCCTCTCCCATGAAGCCTCCCACCCTTCCTTTGGCAGTTTGTTTCTTGATCTCTCTGGAATTTTTCCAACTGAGTCATGTCTATCTATGAATTTAAAACTATCATCCAACTGTGAGAGAACACCTGACATGTTTCTTTTGGGGTCTGGATTACTTCAATCAGGATTATTGTCTCCAGTTCCATCCATTCACCTGAACATTTCATAATCCTGTTTTGTTTTTCTGAGAGTGAAGTAATATTCCATTGCGTAAATGTACCATACCTTCATTATCCATTAATCAGTTGATGAGCACTGAGGCTGTTTCTATTTCCCTGCTATTGGATAATCCAACTAGAAAAGGGAATGGTAATGATTATACATTTTACCAAATAAAATGTACTATTGGCTAACAGATATATGAAATAGTCCATTATCTCATTAATCATCATAGCAATGAAAATTCAAAAAACAGTGATAGCAGAGTTACCATCTTGTATCTGATCACATAACTTATCTGAAAGAAAAGAGCTAAGTGATGTTAAGGCTGTGGAGATAAGGATCCCACATTGGCCAGAATATAAATACATATTGGATGTAGCCATTACATAGACTTATGCTATAAGAAAAACTACATACTATCCAGCAATTTTTTTCCAAGACTCTATTGGAAGGAAACGATACCAACATATTGTAGAACACTGAGTTCCCATCTTCCTTTCAGCATTATTCATAACTATCAAGGTAGAGACATGAAATTATTTTGACTTATTGGCTTTATATACTCAGTCTGATCACCCATCAATGTAGAAATAGATACAGGAAACATAAAATACGAGAGAGAGAGAGAGAGAGAGAGAGAGAGAGAGAGAGAGAGAGAGAGAGAGAGAGAAGAATATGTGTCAGCCTTTAAGAAAAAACAGAAATCCTTGTGACAGCATGAATGAATCTGGTAAATAGTATGATAGATAAAATAAGCTAGCCTCAATAGACAAATACTATATTTTGTCCTCTATAATATGGAATGTGAAACAAAAAAATTATAGAGGCACAGTGTGGGTAAGTGGTCAACAGGAAAGGTGTGATGAACTCATGGTCACAGCATCCATAGTTTAAACAATAAGATGAATACATTATAAAGTACAGGTTGATGATTCAAAACTTAAGGCTATATTTTGCCTTATTTTTGCTATAATTTTGTTATTTAGCTTTATTGTGATAATTAGCACACAGTATAGCCTATGCAAGATGTTCATTTTATGTCCCTTGTCTCTCAGTATATATAGTTTTCATTGCCAGTTACACCTCAGTAAAACTGGAGAAAAGAAAACTGTAGTTACAACGTGTCATTTTAACCTTAGACCTTAAAATTTGTGTAAACATAAAGAAGGCAAAGAATAAACACACTAAACTATGTTACTTGTCCCTAAAACATTCTTAATGATTTAATTTTTTGTTTGTTTTCATTGTCATTTTCAAAATATGTATTCATTTAAACCAACTGAGTCCAAATCAAGGCTGCCTCCATCCTCATTGCTGTAGGATCATGCACAGGGGATGGGGAACTTATCAGTGGCCACACTCCTAAAAAAATGTAATGACTTTTCCCCAGTAGCAAGTGTCATTAATGCCTCAGCTTGCAGTGAGGCCCTGCAGTGAGACCCTGGGAGCCTTGCCTGCTGGCTGGAATTTTTGACTGGCATGGTTTTATGCAGGTCTCAAGCTGGTAGCCACAGCTGCTTTGAGTTCATGGTTCATGAGTGCAATAACCATATCACGCTCAGATGACAGTGTTTCACAATTCTCCTCCCAATCCTCCAGCACTTACATTTGACCTAAAATGACTGGCCATCTCTTCCTTGGTGAATAGGAGTGAGTGTTTTTTGATCAATATCAAAATCTAGAAGTTCTTTTCTGAGAGGTCAGAGGAATGAGAACTGAAATATATTATAAATGAACCTAACAATTATCTAGAAATAAAAATTGCTGCTACTGATGATCCTAACACAAAGTTCAAGCAGTAGACCTACAATGGTAGAACAGTGTTTGCCAGAAGAAGACACACAAGAGAATTCAGAACTGAAGAGGAAATGTGGGGGAATTGTTTTGTGGTGGAAACTATTTGGTATTTCATAGCAGAAAATACACAGCTATAGACATTTGTCAAACTGCAGACAGCTACCCACTAACAATTTATAGTAACCATCTCAAAAATGAACATGAATATATTTAAAATAATTCAGATATATGTGTATTTATGAGGAATGAGGGCTGAGAAGCAGTTATAAACTAGTAGCAGTGAATATATCTAATATTCATCTCATTTCAAAAAATCAAATTCCAGCTGGGCATGAGTGCTCACATTTGTAATTCCAGCGCTCCGAGAACTTGGAACAGAAGAGTGAATGCAAGTTCAAGGCCACCCCGTGGTATATAATAAGCTGCATATCAGCCTGGATTACAGAATGAGATCCCGTTTCTTTTTTTTTTCTTTTTCTTTTTTTTTTTTCTTTTTGAAGCAGGGTCTCCCTGTAGCCCCAGCTGTCCTGGAACTCACTATGTAGACCAGTCTGGCCTTGAACTCACAGAGATCCACCTGCTTCTGCCTCCTAAGTGCTGGGACTACAGGCATGTGCCACGTTTCTAAAATCAAAACAAAAATAATAATACCTTACACCTATAAAAAGGACCAGAACTCTTGGTCAAGTAGCCTGCTCTATGTGTGGTTGGATAGAGGAAATAATAAAATAACATGAGAATATTCCCTTCTCCAATACAGAATCAAAAGCAAGTACTTTAAAAAGGAAAGGACAGAGCAACTCAAATTGTCACAGCAGTCAACCCTAAGAATTTCCCTAGGGAGAAAAATTTCTACTGAACCAATTTAAACAACAAAAGAAAAGTAGTGCTAGATAGCAAAGCAGGGCATGTAATACATATTAGCTTAGATTAATAAAAATTATTCATTAAATAAATGAGGGAGAGTAGGCAACTTTGCATACAGAAAATTATTCAAATACCATTATAAAAAGCCCATTCTGTGGGAGATAATTTATACCCCAATCCTGCCCCATTATTATGGGCAAGAATTAGTGTCTCATAGCAACAGACACTTGAAAAGAAATAAATATTGCAGTGAAGAGACTGGAAAACATTACATTAATCAAGGATTCAGGTTGGCACTACCTGTGATGTGTGCAGAGAACACTACCTCTGGTACAACATGAGAAAAGTACTTCATGCTTTCAAAACTCATTACTGGTGCTTGATTCAGTAACACATATATTAAGACAGGAACAATACAGAGAAGCTTAGCATGGCCCCTGAGCAGGGATGACTTGCAAATTCATGAAGCAGTCCACATTTTTAGAGCTTGGTGGACTTCCCGATGTGGGCAGCAGTTTCAGTCTTCCCTAAGTGACCACATTTGCCACAGCCCACTCCCCTGAGGTCCCAGGTCATGCACACTGTAGCTTTTCCCCTTATGCTAGGGAAACGGGAGGTCTCTGTCATTTGCAGAATATGGTCTTGGGAGGACTGATTCTCTGGAATGGACCTTCCACCTCCCCTGAGACTCAGGGTCCTCACTCCACATGTGGTCCCGGGTATCAGGCAATGACGTTGGCCCTCTCCCATTACCAGGCACCGAGAGGTTTTCCATTATTTCTCTATCACTCTTCTACAGCCTCAGTATGCCTTCACCTATGTCCTAATTGAACTTCTAGATAAACAAATCATTCTGGGAAGTTAAAAAAAAAGAAACATAAAGTACTGTAATAACTAAACTGATGCAATCCTCAAAAAAACATGAAATTAGATCTTAGAAAATAAATGTGAAAATCTACGTATCTATTATAATTTTTGAATATTGTTTACTGACAAAACTGCACTGCTAAGTTTCAACAATAATGTGAAATTTGTCACTGTTCCTATAATGTGAGTTTGCCATTCAGTCTTTCCAAATTCTTCAACACACAGTCTTTCAATGTCATCATGTTACTTCTTAAAGATAGCAATGCTAATAAAATATTTTTAAAAAATAAATACCCCATTACTGAAATTTAATCATATGGAAGAAAACATCAAAACAAGCTCCAATCAAAGACCATTCTGCACGTTTTTGAGAATATTAAAAAAAAAAAAAGACTGGTAAAGACATTGTTGCCACACAAAAAGGACAGGAAACCGGGTGAGAAACACAGTTTGTTCCTTTGCAGCAGAAAAGCAATAGGAAAACTAAGGAAATTTAGATAAGGTCTGGAATTTATTTGATAATATCCCAATATTACTTTTTAGATTTTTGATATACTCTTTCAGAGTACAATATAATTTTCACAAAGGTAAATGGGACAGGACAGGGATGAATGATAAATTTGTACTTGTTTTGCTCTTATCCTGCATAGGAATAATCATGAGAAAATAAAATGTAACTATAAAACTTTGAGGTTTAGTTTCTAAAAGTAAAAAAAAATTGACAAATATTTAAAAAATTGGATCATCCTAATCTTATGACATTAAATTTTATGTGGGATATTTAAAAAATGTACTATGTACTAGAGAGATCAAATAAAGTAGGAGAAAAACAGAGAAATATTTTCTCTAGGTACCCTAATTCAGTATGAATAAATATTTAATCTCTAGAAAATGATACATCTATTGATTATTTCCTAGCTTCATTTTAAAAAGCACTCCATGGCTGGCAAGATGGCTCAGGGAATAAAGGTACTTGCTGCCAAGAACTGTGAACTGGGTTCCATCCCTTGGCATACAAGGTGGAAGGAGAGAATGGGCTTCTGAATGTTTTGCTCTGACCTCCACAGCAGCGTCGTGGCAATCCTGCCAATCCTGCCTAGTGTCTAGAGTTCAGCGATCACAATTATGCACCACCAAGCGCACTTGTTTAGAAGTGTTACAGAAATATTGTGTTGAGCTGTAGGCAAATTTCACTAAGCTTTTTAAAAGAAAATAATCAATTATATGTAGATAAATATTTGATTGATTTAAAATATGTAGTTTCATAAGAGTTCAAATGAGTAAAAATCTCTGGGATTTATACTCTTAAAAAGCAAAGCTCCTGGTGCTGACTTCAGAGTCACTGGGTAACACTCAGTGCAGGAAGATGCTATGCAAGATAGCAGAAGGAAAAACAATCATCATCCTTACATACCTCTGAATGGCATAAACTACAATATAGGCAAGATATGACCACTGGTGTGCAATAGTGGCACAAATATTGCAGGAGTAACCAATCACTCTTTACTTGAATTTAAGGTCTCCTTCCTAGGATAAAGCCCATACCTAACATTGATATTGGGCTTAACCTGAGGCTAGTGAAGTCACAAGAAACGGGAGAACATAATAGTAGTTTTCTACTAAATAGTTATCATATAACTAATCTTTATACCCATAGATTAGTACATCCTTCAGCTCTCACCAGAGAAGTTTCCTTATGCAACAGATGGTGATTAAGACAGAGACTGCTACTGGCTAATATGCAGAGAACAAGAGGCTGTAGAGTTCTTACTGCTGAGTAAGACATCTATATCAAACTTCTGTCCCACCCCAAGACTCAGGATCAGGGCCTGAAAAATAGCAAGAGCCAGAGGTGGTAGATGAGCACAAGGAAACCAAGTTTTGCACATAGCTGGGAATTTATTTATATGAACTCACAGCAATGATGACAGCAGGCACAAATCCCATACAAGCTCAAAACCTGTAAGCAAAATTCCAGACTAAACATAGGAGGTAGATAAGAAGCTTCAACACATCCTCAAGAAATTGTTTTAACATTGCTGCTGGGAGGGGAAAAGACAGTCTCTTTCAACCATGGTACACTTGATAGATTAACTAGGGTCTAGTGATGGACC